CATGCAGTAATTCAGGAATTAGACAATTTCCTTAAGCTACGTAATTCAAACACGTTACAGCTAGGTCTCCAAAATTATTTGATTAATAATTCTATTAACGTCATAGCTCGCACAGCTTCGGACACTTCTCCAGTAAGACGTTGATACCTTGCACGGACCACATTAAAATTGAGTAATGAATTTTTGCGCTAGACTTGTAACTTCATTGTCTGTGTGAGAGGGACCATTTGTGTTACAGATGGTGGGACGGGGAACGGGGGTGGTTTGATTCAGTCTGTACAGTTTGGGTTTTGGGGGAGGGGCCCACCGCATCAGTATCTAACAGTCCTGTCCCTAGGATGGAGGGTTTTAAAGGATAAATGGTTTTGTTTGGGTTCTTTGCGCAAATGTTGGATGCTCTCTCTTGAGACTGATCCTTCTGATGTTAAAATTACTTTTTTTTTCTTTTTCAGTTTTAAGAATTGGAAAGTCCCGGCTGTCTGTGGGGCTGCCGTGTAGGCAGAGGCATTGCTGCAGGGGCTGGGGGGATGTTCTTCACCCTTACGAGGCTCCCCGCCTCTCATGGAAACGTTCTAAATTCTCAACTTTGGGCTCTTTTAACTCTCAGCTGTGCTGCAGCGTTACCAGTTCATGTGTGGGACTCCACTTAGTGCTTATTTGCCCTCTGCTCCTTGTGTGAGAGGCGGAAATCCTTGTGCGATGCAGTAATCCCCTCCTGTGCATCCTGAGCGAGCCTGGCCTGGGGACGCTCGGCTGCTCCGGTGGCAACGGCTGCCACGGAGAAGAAACGCCTTTGCTGTTGGGCCACGTTAGGTGGAGGAGCAGTGACGCAGCCGGCGTCCCTCCCGCTGAGCTGTGGGGGCTGGCAGGGCTCCTGCGCCCAGCGCCTGGCCGGGGGCAGCGAGGCCGGGGATGCTCGGGGCCCGCGGGCGGGATGGCGGATGGCTTCAGCGCGCTGCTCGTGGGACGGGACCCGACCCCCATGGCGCAACGGGCCCCGCTCCGGGTCTGAGCACTAAGGGCTGCCGTGGCCTCGCGTTGCCGCTCACAGCTACGGCGTTGTTTTAAGCTGCCCGGTTTATTATGGCCTTTGTCTAAAACTTACTTAAAGCTTGTTTTTCCAGGGTGTAGTTCAGCTGTCGGTGCCTGAGCAGTACCAGCTCTGTGTTGTGAGTACTTCTAGCAGTGAAGCCCCTTGAAATCGGAGCTTTCTGTCAGCCCAGCTCGAATGAATTTGGAGGTAGAAAACACGGGCTGGCTCGGCGGGGAGGGGGAGCCTCCTGCAATGCTGGTTTTGTTTTAAGAGTTTCCTTAAACCCTGTCTCAAAATACTGGTCTTAGCCCTATGCCTAGCGGATAGCCGCTTGTTCTGCAGGAGCCTGGCACAAGGAAGCCCGTGCCCTTTTGACCAATTTCCTCCCTCTA